GTGTTGCTGCTGTGACGGCAATTCCTTCTCGTTACACCTACATGGTTTGTTAATACTCTACTTGTCTTAACGGTCCCACTATGCTTTTGTTGTCGGCCCGGTGTCATTGTTCCATTATCCATGTTTTTCAATCGGGTTGGCTTGGCGCGGTCAGTTGTTTTGTTTCATTGTCCGCCTTTTGCGTCGGCTGTGCTGCGTGCGGCAGGTTTGGGAAGCCAAGCGCGTGGTTGTGATGAAGCGAACCCTTGCCACTGGGTACGCCGGCGTGGACAACCCCGTCTTCTTCAAGCCCAACACGGACATGCTGCTCGGCGACGCCAAGGCCACGATAGAAGACCTCCTCGGCGAAGTCAAGGCGCACTACTCGCACAAATAACCACGCGAAATGAAATCATTGTTTTGTGAATAGATTTGGCCGCACGCACTGGCTGTGGTAAAAATGCGCCGGTGATTTTGAGTGATGGCTTATTTGCCGCGTGCTTGATCGGTGTTGGTCGATCGAGCGGTCGATCTACTCGTTGCTGCTATGCCCTGACTTGTCTCTTGAGAATCCCAATCTGATCCAACCTGGTGGGTGCTTGTTTGTTCAGCTGTGCGGCCACCAAGCACACTCGAAATTGATGCTTTGCTGTCCCGTGTCTGTTGCTGAACTCACGGACTCACATTGGTGTTTGGAAGGCACTCAAACAAACCTGTCGTGGTGTTGTTCCATGTGGTTCTATGAGTGCGCCCGAAAGGATGGTGATGGCCCCAGTTTGCGTAGGGGTACTTGAAACTGTAGGCAGCAGAACGGCGAAAGACCTCGTTTCATCAGTAATGACTGTTTTTTCTGTTGGGCTCGTTTTGTTATTTGGAGTTTTCGGGGGTGGCACGTTTGTTTCCGATCTGCTTGTTTTGTGGAGGGTAATATCGTTGTGTTCGCCATAGACCCTGGAGGTGGTGTATCGTAGGAGCTATGTTTATGTTTACAAGTGTACACTACAATTTATGTGGAGATGGCCCGATCTGGGAGAGAGAGGAACGAGGATCTCTGCGATGGCTTGTTTGTACTTTTTTTAACGAGAGTGCTGAAAAATCATACGAAGTACTTTTTAATTTTTCCATGGGCATGGACTGCGGCGACGCAACGAATTGCCCACAGGGGAACTCCCAAGTACGCAGTATTGCTGGGCTGTGCCAACGCAGATTGGGCTGGACACGAGGGTTTTGTCTACCATGCGCCACCACCCCCAGCGAAATTAATTATATTTGCAGCATTTCGGATAAGGGAGGCCTGGAATGCACACGCGCGTATTCCTTTTATTTGTGGAGACCACCTTCATAAAGGTACAATCTCCCCAACGTCTGTCGAGGACGATCCCCTCTTCTCACAATGGCGTCGACGAAGAGATGTCAGAGTGTGTCGATCGCGCAGTCACGCGGATCATCCACTTCCATTTTGACGTTTCCCCCCTTTTCCGCATTTTTCCCGTCCCCGGGTAAGATTGGCCATCGGTGATCGGTCCTGTGGGAACAATGCTCCGTCCTCTCGAGGACGCGTGGTCAATGGTCTAACCGCTAAGGCATGCAAAACATGAGAGTACGCTCCCCCCCCCCGGGTAATGGTCAAACGACTACGGCATGCACGACTATGAGTACACCCCCCCCCCCCCGGGTAAGCTCGTTTACAAGAGCTTCTTTACCTACTTCCGGACTACTCAGGTACACGCGTTCGTATATACCGATGTGCACATAGTGCACCGGCTCGGAAGCATCATCAGCTGGCCGATCAGAGTATGCGTCTTGCGGGATTCGTCTTCGAGACTACACTGGTACTTCGAAGCTAGATTTTGTGACGAATTGCGACAGGTCGTCCTTCTCTTGTTGCTGGCACCTGATGCTGCTGTAGCAGGCACTTTCTCAGTGGCTTCTTTTCCAGGCTGCTCGGTACACCCCGAATCCCAATACTTCACGTCGTGTCGTGTTGACTTGGCCTTAACACTACGATACTGTCTCCGACAGTTCATTTCAATATATATCCTGTCATGTCCGGGAACGGTGGTTCCGTGATGACGAAACCCTCCTCACAAGCTGCGACATATTTTGTAATGTTTCAAGTCCCTTCCGATATCCCAAACGTAACCCGCCTCTTGACCAATGGGCGCGACCCTCTTGATGCAACAGGTGTCATCTTCTGGCTGTTCAACAAACCACACTGCAACCTTGAACGAGAAGCATCCGATGCAAGCACATGGGGGGGCAGAGTCAGACGCGCACTGCAGAAACCAGCCCAACGCACCGAGAAAAGAACACCTTGTGGGGGTTCATCGTCCTGAATGTTCTACAACACGGAGTTGAACTGTACTTGTATGTACCAAGGAACAGAAGGGCAGCACGAGGAGTGCAAGAGAACAGTCTTGTACAAGATCCCTCCTACGGAATGGGTTCTTGATTCTTGGGTGTTAGGATCATGGAGGCGACGAACGATAATAGGGAAACAAACCATTTGTGTCATGTCCACTGCTACTCCTGTAGGCCCGGGCGTTTTTCGTTCATTTTGCGGGTTTCCCTTAAATGCTGTGTTGCCCTGTTTGAGAGGCTGTGTGTGTGACCTAAACAGCCTTGCGACAATTGAGGTTCGAACGTGATAAGAGGATGTGTGTGAACTGAACAGTCGCGAATTTTGAGGTCCGGGCGTGAGAGGTGATGAGCTGGCGAGACCGGAGCCCTACCAGCAGCAGTAGCATCAGCAGTGGCCTAAAGAGGGACTGTCGTGGGCATGCACGTGCGTCATGTGTCGTTCGAATGCAAGTCAGGCCCAAAAAAGGAGCAACAGTTCGGGCGCCCATTCTCTCAGATTCTGTGTGGAAGTTATCACCTCTTCGCGTAGTGTTTCCCACGATGGGGTGTGTTTGTTGCACAAACCAATGAACAAAGTTTACTGCGTTTCTCGCTCAGTCTTTCCAGTCGACAAAGACCGACAGCTGCTGAAAAACAGATGACGGGCTCTGCGAACACGTTTCACTGCCAACCATCAGCAGAGGCCGTCACTGTTCAAACATGAAGAGAAAGCACGCCATGAGCTGAATGATGCGAGCACAGACTGCTCAAGCTTGAATGCACCGAGTCGTGTGGCATGGCCGGCTGTTGCTGTGCGAGATTGCAATAGAGGGTAGGGTTGCCTTGGAGTTCGTAGAGTGAACACTCATCTTCACACCCCATTGCTCAAAAATGGCACCTGCGCATACATTGTCACTCCAGCACGAGCACGGATCACATGCTCAATATTTATCGGCCAAGTATGACCAGCACACCTGACGTTTATACCGGTGTGAAGAAACACTGCCACTTTGCGTGAATCAAACAATCACAACAGACATCACGTCACTCCTCAGTACATCAAATAATTCTTACAAGGCAGGCCCTGAAGAGCCAAAAGCAAATCCAACACTACCCCTCCCCCAGCAGATCGAAATCATCCACTTTGTCCTCGTATGTCTTGATGGCGCGCTTGATCTTTGAGCCATCCACCCAGGTCACAAAGTCTTCCATACTTCGGGTCACCAGAAACTGTGTGCGATGGCAAAAGCAAGGGGCAGCATTGAGGGCGTCCTGGTCAGTAACGGTGCCGTCCGACGGAGACAAGGGGGGGGGGCTCCACACAACAGGGTGCGCCCCTGGTTGATGAGCTTGAAACAACTCTGGTTGGTAGGAACCCTTTCCACCTTACCGTGGCCGAAAAAGCGCAGGTACCCTGCTGAGGTTACTTTCGCGCAGAAAGTATACCCTGAATTGTCGAGGAAGATGCAGAAACGAGATTCAAGACCACAATTCTGGCGGGAGCATTCGTCCATTCCACGAACGTGTTGCGGTTTTAGGCACAGTGCGGATTCCGAGCAGTCCGTTTGGAGGCAGGATGTGTTATAGTCAGGTTTGGACAATAAATAATATAAAACCGCGCACGTTGTGGAAAGCAGATGTGTTTCGCTCCTTCCCATGCAGTCCGGTTCAAGATTATCTCAACCCTGAGCACGGATCGCCACGCAAGTCAATTGATACCGACCGCTATGGTCAAGCCGGCCCGTGCACTCGACAGGAAGTCTTTCCCACTCACCGCTGGATCCGTGACAGCGTGGGGACCCACCCTAACGTGCCCCTGCTCGATGTACGTCGTAGCCTCCGTGAGTGTTTCGGACATCTTGAGTCTCACCATCACCACCGGTAATCGTCGTCTGTAGGAGGAGAGCAAGCAACGAGCACGCGCGTATTTCGAGGAGGGATAAAACCATTGAGCAGCGCACTCCTTGCACCAAGATACAAGTTGCAAGAACTTCGCATCTTGTGCGTAGGAACTTTGTGCCGAATACATCCAAAATGTGAAAGTGTGTTATGTGAAGCAGACTCTCGTCAATCACAAGAGGCGTTGGGGGCAGGGAGAATGGCAGGCAGCAATATGCATCCAGGGGGGAGGGGGTTGCACGCGTGCCAGGGCAATACGCGCCACAAAAGCCAGTGGCGTGAGCCTCACGAGAGCGTCGTGGAGCCCTGTTGTAGGCATATCGATTCAGCCACGTCCTGTTCCGTCGAAGCAAGAAACCTCAGATTCCCAAGGTTCTCGTGCGGTGTCATGAAAAAACGTGGAGGATAAGGCATCGTGACGGACCCGCGTGTGCGTCAGCCGCGGACAAATCACCTGCTGTCGGCTATTGGCGCGTGGCTCTGCTTGGCTCGTTCTGCCCTAGTTAGAGTACATGATGTTTTCGTTCAGGTTGCGAAGCCGGAGGAAAAAAGATAGGCCGGTTGAGGACCTAATGGTGTCACCTGCAGAAGGAAGACACGCTGGCTGTCTCCGTCTTAGCCAGACTTTTCTTCGTGTTGATGATCCCCATCGCAAACAGCTTTTCCAGCAGCTGTTCGGTCATCTTTATCCGGAACTCGTCGCTCGCATCCAAGGTCTACCGGAACGGGGGTGTGCGGGAAAAATCAACTGAGGTCGTTGCATCTGGTGGTCAATCGCACCGAAACGCGAAGCACGCACACTGTGACCACGCCGAACGAAATCGTTGGGGCGAGGTGGCGGCGCGGCGAAAGCGGCCAAAACCCGACGAAGACCTTTCAATGCTCACTATAGTTTTTTCGTGTATTCTCAGCTCTTTACTGGCCATTACAATTGTACACGTCACGTCTTGCCGGGTTGGTAACACACAACGCCCGGCAGTTGTTTCGTCCCGCAATCTACCTTGAGTCTGGCTGTGAGCTTCGTGATGAGCCCAACGATTTTGTTGTACTTGACGTAGTCGTCTCTGTTCTGCACCAGATATCTTCGAAGGACCTGCGACAACAAGCAAAGAGGGCAGTTGACAAAAAGGGGTAACCCCAACGGTTCAGGAACCACCGTACTATTGATTCCTGTACCGTGCCGTACACACGTCGTCCGATGCACCCTTCAGCAACAACGCAGAGAGACCGGGAGAGAGAGGGGAAGATACAAAGATGAAACGCAGACGCAAGAACGAGCAATATGCATGCACGCATGCACCCTTTGGTCTCAGACAGGCTCCTAGAACACAGATGTAGAGACAAGGAAGGACTGCCCACCCGAGACAGACCTCGAAAGAGTGCGACGTAGTTCTAAAAGTGAAGGTCCAGCTACACAGTACACGGCCTGAGATGCTTCGTTTCATGATAAAAACATGCACTGCTGTGATCTACGTAGATCTGGTTCCTCGGTTTGTGTTTCCTCCAGCTCTCTCCGCAAGGGCGAGGGGAAGCAAACTCCAACATGCCGAGAGTTTTGAGGGACAGTGGATACTGCGGTACTAGCAGAGCTTTGGTTTCAGCAGCCGTACCCGCTGGCTGCGGCAGCTGACAACAGGGACACGCCCGCACTTGGGGTGTTTGAGCAAACACAGGACTGTCAATTTTCATCCGTTCCACCCTCCACACCTGAATCTCGCGGATGTTCTGGTCGCTCTTCCACTGCAAGAAGTCGACCTTCTTCAAGAGCTTCTGCTCATGGTACTTCAGCTTCCTCATATTCAAGTGTGTTGAGCGCGAACCAGGTATTCTGTGCGATGGAGGTAGGTGGGTGGCTGCCTGTGGCTACCTCGAGGGGCTCCGCGGAAAGTATTCCACGATGCCTGCTTTCAATATACGGGACCCCCGAGAAGAGATCGAACTCCTTGATGCCGCTACACCACACACCACACCTCACCCCCAACGCACCCCGAAGTGGATTGGAGAAGGTGAGAAAGCATCTAGTATGGTACAAGGTCAGTATCGGACCGGAGAAGCGGGGTATAAGATACAAGATCGGACTGCTATCCCCTCTATTCGCCCGCGGTGTATTGCCTGATTCCCTGTCAAGATCGCGGTCTCAATTCAAATGTTCCCCTGGCGCCGCACCGTTTCTAGAAGGCACAGCGGGTTGGGGCATCCTTAGTTTGAGAAGAGGTTCGCATTTTCTCTTGGCACCGCGAAGGTCTTTGACCTGGACGAAGTGTCATCATGCCCATCTCCTTCCGAAGTTTCAATAGAGTCAATTTTCACATTCACCCCCGTTCTTCGACATGATGTGCGGGGCATCATCAGGCGCTGTCACCTGCCTCCCAACAGCAGGACTTGTACAGCAGAAGATACCCTACAGCAGTCAGTTTAATCAAGGCCACACTGCTATGGCAGTACTCTCGCCCAGTCCCATTACTCCAAAAATGTGGCCTGCCTTTGCGTTCCGCACGATGGAAAGGCTACCCGCAAGTTGCCCCGCCAAACTCTGAACTCTTCGATCTTGCTTGGCAGAGTAGTCTAGCGAGTAGAGAGGGATTGTAGTGTGATCGTACTTAAAGACGATGTGTCACTGTTACGTTTGTGCGCTAATGGCCAAACACAGCAGAACAAAACGCCCGTCTGGATACACCGCAATAGTCCCATCGTTTGCCCATCTTCGTCGAATTTCATGTCGTCAGCGGTCACATCAAATACTAAATACGGCTCGAACAGGCCGCCAACAGACGTCTGCGGAGATCCCAATGATTGGGTTCGCATGGTGGTATTGCTATAGTCGACCATGGGTTTTATGTTTTATGACGTTGAAAGATAACTCGCACGCCACCGCACACCTTACGAAATTGGTGCAAGAATCGAAACCTGCATGAAAGCTTCGTGAACAAAATGACAAAGCTCGCTCTCCCTGCCTCTCTGCCTGCATGTCCGGGGTGGATGATGCAACGATAGAAACCGGATCACTAGATAGCTTGGAATGGACATGGACACGAGACAAGAGCTGGCGGAAGCCACCGCTTTGCTGGAGACAGCGAAGGTATAGTTGAAGCAGTAGGAATGCGATGCAGCAGAAATGCATCACCCGTGTTTGGCTTGGAGTGAGAGACGAGGCATCGCGTTGTTCCCTGCCCTGCCGCCTGACGAACATACGACGAGCAAGGCAAGGCAGTTTTGGATTCACGAGGGCACGTATTCTTCACGCCTTTAGAGATGCTATGGTGGCGGCCTACGGGCAACTGCGGCTCCCAGTCCAGTGCTTCCGGGGGCGTCTGCTGGCGCTCGAAGTATGTGCCCCTTGAGCAAGACAGTGGGCATGTTGATATGTACCCTCACACGACGTTGACCTCGTGTACCATTCAGTGTACCGATATGCAGACAGCGCGCGTCTTTGACGCTCAACGGAGGGCGGCTATTTGCTGCTGGTATAAGCTTTTTGCGCGAAACTGTACGCCTCTGGCAATTTCTTTCGTAAGGCTCAGCTAGGGTCGACCAGTCCTCGTTTGCGTAGCAAGATGCAACCGGCCGGTTGCCTTGACTCGTTGTTCTCGACCCTGGTTCTATGGTCCGAAATCCTTCCACCGGCGCACCTGTGCACCCAGGGCGGCGCTGTTGCGGCACGCACCCCAAACCAAACTCCCTCAACAACATGCAACAGTACATACTCTTAACCGGTCCGTGGGTTATGAAAGAGAGGTGCTTCGACCGCCTCGTATTTTTCGAGAGTCATTTTTTAACAGTATGACTGCCCCCCCTCCCCCCCCCCCCCCGCCTCCCAAAGATTACGTTCCGATGCTAAATATCTGTTTCGGTTCACACTCGCTATTTTTCCCGCTCCCTCGCCCGAAAAGGGCCCAAGGGTTCGAAAAGCCCTCTCGGGTCTTGTCGCCTCGCTGCAGAGCACCGCGGCGGCAGAGCCAGCGGAAGCCGAGACCGACAGCAGCAGCAGCAGAACGGCGGCGGCTGCGGCAGCGGTGGCGGCCAGTGGTGATGGTGGTGGAGACGATGTCCCGGCGGCCTTGAGCGGGTCTCACTTGCCGGAGGCGGAGGGGCAAGCGGCAGCAGAAGCCGCAGGTGCTCCTGTTGTTCCTGCTACCAAGGTGGAGGGAGGCGTGCCTGCCCCGCCTCGTGCGCCCGAGAGAAAGTGAGACGGGAGGACGTGGCGCAGATCAGTCGCTGGGCTTGGCTTGGCTGACACTTGCCTTTGTATTGTATTGTACAGGGAGAGTTGACTCCCTGTTTTTTTGTTGCTGGTGGTGCCCACGTGCTTGGTAGTAGAAGATTGTTTGGGGAGGGGAGGCGGAGGCAGATGTGTACACGGTAAACCTTGTGACTAGGCACGGGGTGACGTGGCGTGGCGTGTTGCCTCACAACTCCGGGTGCTCGGCCTCTTTCCCGAGCGACCCCTCGCTTCCTGCGGCCCTGTTTCGTTGTCGCAATTGTTGTTTTGTTTTTTTCGCATCACCCACCTGGCGGGTATATACCACACCAGTTCTGCACCGCCTGGTTTTGGTGTATTCATGCCAAGAAAGTGGTATCGGTTGTGTGCTTCGTGTTAAACGTGCGCCGTTACATATCGTGGTGCTCGGGTGGTTTGACTTGCTCTCTGTCTGTCTCGCCCGACGAGAGGCGCCTTCGAAGAAAGAGGGCCGGACAGTTTTCTCAAGGGAGGATGCGCCAGCGTCCATACTGCCCGCGCGGTACTACACACGCATTTTATTGCGTGGGGGGTTGTTCTCGTCCCTGCTGTAAAGCACCAAACCGCTACATCCCGCCGGCGTACTACCGTGCCTGCCTCCCGTTGCAAAAACGAAAAACAAAAAACAACGTCAAGGTACGCGACCGTCGAAAAGTTCGCCTGGGATCAGGGGAGCTTCAGCAGCCCGAAGGTGTCCGTCTATGTCCCGCTCGAGGGCGTCGGCGCGGCGAAAGAGCGTGTCTCGTGCTCCTTTACCTCCCGAGGGTTCGACCTCACGTGAGTAGTACATGGTCTGTTCGGCTGGCCTGTTTCCTATTGCCTAGATACCCTCCCCCATGTTACTTTGCTCTCCCTCCGCTGAGGGCACTGTGACCGCACACTGCACCGCGCCCGAAACCCCGTGAAGTGTCATCGAGCGAAGCGAGCTACGATGCCAGTATGTCTTACTACTCCAAAACCATTCCACCAACAACACACCAAACCCTGCTATGAATTTTTCTGTTACTTTGCTCTTCCTCCGCTGAGGGGTTGACCCGTGTGACGATGACGATGGCTTTCTGAGGCCGTCCGATGGCGGGTTGGGATGTAAAAGACGCGTTGCTGCTGCTGTATCCGATGGACCGGGCGCGTATCTGCTGCCGAGTTTTTTCGGCGTTCCTCGTGGTTGACTTCATTGCTCACATGTGCTGCTGCTGCTAATGCTGCTGTCGCTGTTTTTGTTTTTGTCTGGACGTGTCTGCGTGTATCAGGGTGAAGGATCTCAATGGCAAGAGCTACCGGCTGCTGCAGAACAACCTCGACAAGGACATCGTGCCAGGCGAAAGCAAGATCCTGGTGAAGAGAGACAAAGTCATCGTCAAGCTGCAGAAGGTATACCGCTACGCCTACTAAGTTTGTCCTTGTCGAAGATGTGCATCAGTCGATCCACCCAACCTAGGAAACGTGCAAATCCCTCGCTATTACGGGCGTCAGTGAGGTTTATCCGGATCTGCACGTCGTTCGAAGATGTACGTCGCTTCACCTTATCGGCGGTACACAAATAAGCATTCGTGCAGGAGCAGTAATATGTTAATAAAACATTTCGTTGTACTGGTTGAGTGCTTATTGTTGGAGGTTGTATTGCTGTGGCGTGCTGATGTTGCTAGGAATAGCGTCAAATCAAGTTGTAAGTTTTTCTGGTGGGAACCCGTGTCTTTTTCCTCCCCCAGCGGTTCGGCAAGTTTGGCCGAAAGACACTCGTGAGCTTGAGAGTCGCGTGAAAAAGTGGTTCCGCCGAACACCAACGCAGGCGTAGTTCCTTACGTGATAAGTGGAGAAGGTTACCCAACAGGCCTATTATTTCGATCAAGCTAGACCTAGAGTTCCAAGAGTGTGGCCGGGAGCTCACGATCGTGGACACGTGTCTGCCAACTCCAAGGTCCGACACGGTGACCGCAGCAGCTCTCGGGCAGTTGCACCTCGGAAAGCTCCTCGGATTCGGGGATGGATCTCTTGATGTTACCAGTTCTGTCTCCGGCGAACGTTCTCAAGTCTTGCAAGCACGAACGTACCACCTTAAGAAAGAGGTGCATCCTGGCCCCCACGCCTGCACTGCTGTTTTGTCTCTCTCCTGTATTGTATTGTAGGTGAAGGGCGAGTACGGGACCTACGACAACTGGGCCAACTTGGCGGCGAAGAAGGCCAAGAGAGTCGATCCCAAGGCTAACCCACAAGCAGGTGACAACACACAATTTTGGAACAAAGTACAATTTTGGAACAATAGTTTGGAAACTCAAACCTCCAACGCAACCAATCTTTCTTTGATGTCGTATCGTCTGGGCTGCTCTAGACAAGACAAGACTCTTCGGAGAATTTTCGCTGTTTATCGCAACGAAAGTGGACGATGTGGACACATCATGTAGCACGAGGGGCTGACCTGTTGGAATCGATCGAAGCGTTGCTAAGTATAGGGCAACTCGATCTTTTGCCGTGTTCATGACATGCGAGGTTCGGCATGTAAAGGGTCAAGCAGCCAGTAGCAGGCAGAGATGGGCAAAGCGGTTGTTGGCGCCCCGACTCTCGAGCCAAACGGTAAAGCCTCCTCTTGTTTGTGTGGCAGTTTCGTACCGTTTTTTTTCGGAGAATCTCAGGTGTCCGTTTTCGGGATGCGGCAAGTGGCAGCGATGAAACACCAGAGGGACTGAAGATCCTGAAACAAGCACGGGTAAACTTGCCAAGATATGCTCTAGATTTTTTTTGTCTGAGCAAACGCCGTTGCCTCTCCTCTCGCGTGTCGTGTGAAATAATCCGCAGGAATCATGGACATGATGAAGGACATGTACGACGACGGAGATGAGTCTACCAAGAAGCTCATCGGTGAGGGTGTGAGAGCTAGCAAGCGGGGTGTAGGGTCACGCGTGTAACTGTCATGTCATACCTTTCGAGCTATGAGCGGCGATGAGCTCTAGCAGAGTGACGACACCAGACGAGCACAGTTTTAGCTCGAGGTGCAATTTACACGCGCCGCAACTTGCAGAATTATTGCATCGCATTGGGAGTTCCACGGTCTTTATGGCGTTCTTTCTGGCATTCTCGCCCCGATGCTGGTCATGCCGCGTTGAAGTCGCTTGCTCCCTCGTCCCTGTCACACCCACGCCAACGGTATCCCCCATCACGTCGCCCGGTGCACTGGATGCTTTCGCTCTGAGGCTGTCGGGCGAAGAGCAAAGCAAACGAAGGCTGAGCAACACCAACCAGAAACCCCCGTTTACATTGTGCAGCATGGTATGTTCAGCTGTCACGCACAGCAGGAAGAGGATGAGCAGGCTGCCATTGCCGTGGAGATTGGTACCAAACAGTCCGTCAGTCAAGGCAGTAGAAATTGGTCCTCTGTTGTCCACACAATTTTGTTGTTGACGCCGAACCGGACCTTGCCAAAAAGCTGCCCTACCCTATCCTCTCGTACCACACCGTGTACCGAATTGTCGTCCCTTGTCCCGTACGCTGCACGGGTCCCCTTTGCCGTGCCCCCGTGGTGTCGGTCGACTTGTCCAACCGTCCGCCCCCAACAACAGGAGAGGCGATGTTGAAATCGCACCAGAACCGAGGCGCCCCACCGGGGTCCTCGTTCGACAAGCCCGACCCTTACGGCAGCGGCAGCAGCAGCAGCAGCGGCCTTGGCGGCCTTGGCGGCCTTGGAGGGGGGGGCGCCGGGAAATCATCGTCGCCCTTCGATGGACTCGGGGAGGGGCTCGGCGGCCTTGGAGGGGCAGGAGGGGGACTCGGCGGCAACTTGGGCAGCATGATGGACGACCTCAACATGGACCTGGACAAGGACACAGGGGACGGCGGCTGGGGGGCCGGCGGGAAAGACGACTTCGGCTTCGGGTCGGCGGTGCCCCCGCCGCAGGCGTCGTCTGAACCGGTGCCAGCCGCCGAAGAAGAGGGGGAGGAGGGCGGTGGCGTGGAAGAGGCAAAGGCGGAGAGATCTGGCGGTGGTGGTGACGCGGAGAGCTCGTCGTGAGTAGTCGTGTTTGTTTTCTCTTTTGTCGGTTTTTGGTGTTTGGGTTTAGTCCATGGCCGCGCCTCCTCGGTTACTTATGTTGGGATTTATGTCCAAATGTCCAAGCCTTGTTGCGTTTCGGCCTGTTTGGGTCTGTCTGTCCTTAGTGGTCGGACGCGGGCGAAAACGTGGGTTGCACCTTTCGTCGTGAGTTCTGTTGCAACGAGCCGTAAGAGCTTCCGGCCGGGCCGGCGAGTACTTGATGGGATCGACGCATGTATCGATTCTGGGACGTAGACGACAGCTGCCTATACAGCAGTTCGAGGCAATACAAACCCTTGAGTTGCCTTGTTCCCCCTCCCTAAAATACGAGCATGGTCACTGCGTCGCGTTGGTCATGTACCGCGGAAGTTGCTTGTGGCCTGTCGGACGAAGGGTTCCCGCCGACAACGTCAAATCTCAACGACCCCCCCTGCTGCTCGTGGTGGTGGTGGTGGTCCCTCTCTCGTGACAGGAACCCCCTCGAGGACCTCGATGACTAGCGCCAAGTGTGGCCAAGTGTGGCGGTATTTGGCTGGCAGCACTGATGGAGGCGCTGCGAGAGCGTCGTTGTGGCGAGAGCAGCAATGGCATTTTGTGGTTCGTTGTACAACAAGACTGCACGGCGAGATGCTGTTCCTGGGAGTTGATGTTTGCTCTCTGCGAAAGCCGCCACGCTCTGCGTGTCTTGCGTGCAGCACTGGGCGGGCGTTAGCTACAGACGCACGGTTTGCCAAGAGGTCTGCTTCTGTGTGTTAAGAGACAGAACTGGTGGGGTGACCCAGTGCTCGAAGACACGGGATGGGAGGAGTAGAGAGGGCACCTTGCGTCCGCGTACACGAGATGCGAAGAACCAATAAAAGAAAAGCCTACAGCAGCAGCCCGTGGAAACATTCAGGTTACCGTCGGGCAACCCTGCCGCGGCTCAGGCACGGCCGCCAAAGGAAAAATACAAGCTTCCTCAGGCACTACTATACTGCAAAGGGAAGCGAGGGGTGGGGGGGGAGAGGAGAAGCTTCCCCAGAGGTTCGGTTCGGTTGCAGCCCGAATTTTGTTCCGCTCTACGTACGTGGAAACGTATAAAATATACATACGCCCCGCTTCGTGCCGCGACAAGAAAGTCTTGACAGCTTGCTGCCATAGGTTTAAAATAATCGACCAAGATATGTACAAACTACGTTTGGATGGGTGTGAAAATCACCATCGATCCAAAACCGAAACACAGCCGCCCCCCGGAGAGTTTCACCTCCCTGCCTACCTACCAAGTGCTTTCGCCCCAAACACGTTTCCTTCTTCCTATTTCCGCACGCTCCCGTCAGAGCGTTAGGGCAAGACACTCCTCTACAAGACCCCCGCTACTCAATGTACTACCATTGAAGCCGGCAAGCGTGAAGACAAAAAACCACACACATCGAACCTGTCTACACGTCAACCAACCCTCGACTATGTGTCCACACTTATCCCCGCACCTGTTAACCTTTACAAGGGAACCGGCGCCACGTGCTTGTGCTTGTGCGTGTGCTGTCCTGTATCACAACACAACACCACCGCCCTCGCTCGCTCGCCCGTTCACCATCACCATCAACTGAACAAAATCCTCACCATGCCAGCCACCCGAAACTCGCTCGAGGCTAGTCGATGGGGCTACGAGGCACAACATTAGCTAGGTCGGACACAAGTTTCGGCTCACGGGGTGAGAGAGGTGGGGAGAGGGATCTCACCCGCGTGTGCGCGCGTGCATGGTACTAGCTTGCCGCCGACAACAAACAACAAAGCTACCACCAGCTCAAGCAAGGGAGGGGACATCATTTGCCACAGGCGCGCTATCTTCTTCGTCCATGTCGAGACATAACCAAACGAGAAACGCCACGTTTACGCACGTGAGGCCTACAGCAGTACCGCTGTCACGCCCCCCGAGGCTCAACACATGGCATGACAAGCCGACGACACACATACAAGCTGCCTTCCTCGCCATGCGCTTCAAAAGCGAAGGTCATTCACGTCCACGATTGCGCGGCCAGGTAGGCTGGAGGGGGGGAGGGTTGTTTCAGGGGACTAGAGGGAAAGAAGCGCAGTCTGCGACACCACACATGTTCTTCCCGCGAGCCATGTGGAAGAACCCATCCATACCCCACCTGGCGGCGTCGAAAAAAAGAGGGCGAGGGAGGGAGGGGGGGGGGATTCTTAGGACAACGCTGATTGCTACAGACAAGGCAGTTTTTCTTGTACAGAAAAAAATTAACCCAGACGTGCATGTCAACGAGAACAAACTTAGTGCCTACAACGCACGCTATACCCTCCGCGGGAAGAACGGAGCGGCTCGCTAAGCCCAACAAGTACGCTAGAGTCAACAGTGGGGGGGCACACACCCTACCGCCGCACGCAAACGCAAACAAGAAACAGGCGGGCGTACCCCCCACGCGATGAGGCGTGGTAGGTGTTAGTATAATAGCGCATAGCCAGTAAGTTAGCTGTACGGAAAGAAACAATGAACAACCCAACCCAGAGGGTGTGTTCCCTCTCTCTGATGAACGACGGGCTCGGATGCTGTGCAACGTCTCGACTACATCCGCTCGCCCACCGCCCCGCCCGCCTGGGGTCCATCCACTAACGTTCGCTTCTCTCAACCGCCAAGCATGCAACTGCAACAGCAGCATCACTCACTCGGGTCCCCAAGAGTTCTTGATGATCCAGTAGTCCACGCCTTCCTCGGTGGTGCCGTACCCCACGCACAGCACCGCATGGTTCACCTGCGCAGTCGGAGGAGGAGGAGGAACGGCAGGTGCGAAAGGACACGGGCATGTTACGGCGGCGGTTCAATCGTAGCATGCCGCTTCTTTTTTTGCCCAGGGCAAACTGGCGCGCCCGGATTGTCTTCTTATGCGATCGCGTCGCGGTTGCCCCGACTGGTGTGATGAAAAAAAACTTACGCGTGTCACCGAGCAACATATCGCCGGATAAAGACAACGAAGGCTTCAAAAGTATTATGGACAACTGTGGGGTTATCTACTCCCGTGGCATGATTTGTGTCTACGCTTGTTCTTGGCTTTAAGCAAAGGAGAGGAAATGATTTAAACGATCTGTTGTATCATTTACGGCGAAAAGAAGCGGGTATCTCATCGATCACCGTCCGGGTGTGGTGTGTCACATTGCCCCAGCATAGGCTCGAAATATAGCGGAATAACAGCGCTTCGAGATGCACGCACTCCCCCCCCCTTCATCGCGTGCAGAACGTTGCTTTGTGAGCAAGCTACGTCAACATGCCCACCAAGCGCACTGCGGAATCGTGCTTGAGGTCTACTGTCACATGAGGAACCACATGCCCCCTGAAGCGATTTTCAAAGCTGAATTTCTACAGATACCTGGTCTCCGATATCAAAAACATACCGACTCGCTTTGCGTAAACGCCCTCAAACGTCGATATTGCATCACAACTTTTCGCGATCCAACCAAAATTACAACCTCACGACGCCAGCACACTTCCAACCTGTGCAGGTTCTACGTTCCAAACTCTTCCACCAAATGCCGCTTACGCACACCACGATTGTAAGGGATTCCCCCATGGGAAGCCTCGTCGAAAATTCCCCTCAACAGCCATGCATCACAGCTCATCTAGCAACGTGGTGCTCCGTTTCAAGTTTTCAATCTCAAGCTGTTGTCTCCGAGATCTTCGACAAAAGAAGAGGCGACGGAGGGGGCATAATGACGCATGGGTAGCCTGCGCCACCGTCATTGGTCAGCCGGACAAAAAGCACAGTCGGTTTTGATAAATAAAACAAATACACAAAAGACGCACAGTCACACAGCGGTAGTATAATGCCCCCATTGGTTCTCGGATGTACCTGTTCGGGGAGAGTTGAGCACGAAGGGTTGTCGTACACGCCTCCAGCATAGGCCTTGAAGTCGGGGGCGACCTGTGTGTGTGTGGGGGGGGGGGGGAATAACGCCACCCCGCGGGGAAAGAGAGCATAGAAGAGAACAAGGACGCTCAGCAAAGAATTTCGCTAGCAAGGCCGAGCACGCCTACGAGTCGCTGGCTGCTGCAGCCAGCCCACCAGACAAAAATATTCAGTGAGGAATGTCTTGGATATCGCCGGCGGTTGTCTTATACAGGCAAACAAAAAATGTCGTGCGTGTCGAGACAACGAGGTAGACGTTAGGACGAGAGTTGCAAAGAGCTCCTCATTGCAGGTACTTGTACATCATACCTCAAGGTACAAGAGGACAAGAGGACAAGAGGACAAGAAAGTCAGCAAGTGCGGGGGCCTACGGAGTACAAGTATGCCGTCTAGGAACACCGTCGCCTTTCGTGCTTGTAGTAAATACACGCGTCTTCTTGGCTTCAAAACACCATACGCATACAGTAGCTTCCTGACAGAGACAAGCGCCGTGTTTCGCTCAGGAGCGCGCGAAATGGCAGTCTGCAAACGTCGGATGCATGCATCTGCTGCAAATCGCTCATGATATCGAACTCAAAAACAGCTACGGTAACACGGCAAAAACGGCACATGGAACACCGAGGGCACGCGACAAGCAGCAAAACCACCCTCGTCCGTAGTATGCACTTACAATAGCATGTGATGCACTATTTACTAAACTATACTATACCCTGGAGCGCAAAGCCTCGATCGATCGACTTCCGAGGGCACGAAGCAGTTCGAGGCTCTATGTCTTCAACGACGACGAGAGCGACAACAGAGTGACACACAACATCAACAATCGGAAAACAAAGACGCCCCCCTTCTATAATAGGAGTAATATGGTTTGACATCCAAGGCATGCAAAACACGAGCACACCCCCCCTTCCAATATCCAGACTGCGTGGCGTTAACGAAAACGAGCACAGGTAGCAAGCAGCCACAGAAGCGCCACGCACAGGGGTCGAGGCCGCTTGCTCTGCCGTCAACGCAGGTGAACCACACGAGGAAACACCTACCGACCGGTCGATCGGCGGTGGCGGTGACGCACGATCATTTTATTCTTATCTCGTACTCAACACATACCTGGAAGGCCACGCTCACGGGCCCCGTGTTTCCGACAGCCTCAAGAAGCTCGCGCTCGTCCTGGAAGGTGATGTTGACCGACCGCATCACGTCCGCCCCGATGCCCCGGTCGGCGAAAGAACACAAACCCGACTCCTCCGCCATGTAGGGGTAGACCTACACACAACGGAGAAGAAGAAATGGGGACAACGCGTCGGAATCACCGTTCAGAGAGAGAGAGAAAGAAGTTGATACTCCTTGTTCCTGACGAACAGACAACAGTGCATAGGCCTTCGCTACTAGTACCAGCAACCAATACGGCAACATGTTTTCACCGAGGCTTGGCGATGCGGTCCACACGGAGTTAGCTACTTGGGGAGGGGGGTACGTCCAAGGACGCGATTTCCGACTCCTCCGCCGGACAAAGTGCTACATCAACAGCGTGCAGAAAACCTCTTCTCAATCACCAAGGGGCAGCGCGACTGACAAGACCAACACAACAAAATCGAGTGATGCCTCATTCGTTGTCCCGTTGTCGCGCGTACAGCAGTCCAGCTGCGTACTGTACAAGTCTGACTACTCTCATCTGTCCTCCGGCTGCTTGGCGCGCTCGATGCCAACAACAGAACACGCACACCCGCAAGCAAGCCCAAGCCCACGCGGACGCACGCACGCACATACCTCCTCCGTATCGAGCCCTCCCGCGCTGGCGATGTACTCGAACGCGTGGGACGGCAGGCCGCCGTTGCAGCCGTGGTTGTCGTAGGCCCCGGCGCAGTCCAACAGCTGCTGCTCGGAGAGGAGGACCATCTCGCCGGTCCTGTTGGATTGATTCGGTTCGGTTGGATTCGGTTAGTTTGGGTCAGGTTGGTTTGGTGTATGACGCGCACAACACAGGAGAGGAGAGAAGACAGGAAGAAGCACATGGGTGGGTACGAATGGTCGCGACAAAGGGGCAGATTTGTTATTTTTCAAGGTTCAGCTGCAAGAGCTTGCTCGCGCATGAAACCGTTTTTTTTTTTTGCGTGCGCGTACGGCGAACGCAACCCATCAGTTTGTTCTTGTCGGGCAGTGCAAAACAAACCTCCCGCGTTTCCTTCCTCCTGCGTGACCCCGACTGGAAGGTATGACGCCTCGAAACACGGTCATGTCAAAACACCGTCGCCAAATTACACAACAGGACACATGATCATCATGTACAACGGCGGCGAGAGTGTACTTCAAGAGCACGTGATGCCACTGGTGGGAGGGAGACCTGATGTACCATGTGCATGCGCTACTGTATGTACGTGGTGAACTCTTTCATCTGGTTTATCTTCGCGCGCCCTATCCGTTGCGCTCGGAATCGATCGCTATTAGAAACACAACATAAAAAATGTGCGACAGCAGAAAATGAACAAAGAGAAAAAACACAATGCACAACAAGCTCTCTCTCCTTCCCCCACCCGTCGAAACGGACAACCGCGACTTAATCTTACAACTACCCGCAAAGCACCAAACACCAGCACTATTACCACCACCCGAAAAATCATCACCACAACAACCCACCACCACCACCACAGCAGAGGAGCAATAAATCTCTCACCGCAGGTAGTGGTGAGACTCCAGGCAGCCCGTGGTGCTAAACGTCCAGCAAGACCCGCAGTGGTCCTGGTTCTTCACCACCGATACCGCTCCGAGGTCCCTCCAGTCGCGCGCGGCGGGCGGGGCTCGGCCCTTGCTCAGGCCGAGGGCGCGGTACTGGCTGCCGACGTGGGTCGCCGAGCAGTTCTGGCTCGCGCTCAGGGCGCTGCCGAAGCCCAGGCGGGTCGCCTGGAACTCCTCCCTGTGGCGTTTCGTGTTTGGCGTGTGTTGTTCCCCCGTGAGAATAAGATAAGGCTGACATGATAGATTCATAGCATCGTATTGGTGTGTGTTATTGCCTCGTGAGAAGAAAATAAGGTTGAAAATTGGAACACAGATCTAGCTAGGATGGCGCGAAGCAACGGTTTGCGCGGAATGAGTCTCGATCTTGGTTTTATGAAATGATGGCAGACGGTAGGTGTAGTAGTAGCGAACCCGTAGCCGTGAGTAGCAACATGCTGAGCTTCTACATCCTCTGCTACGCACAAGTGGCGGAGGAGCTTCATAGTATAACAAGGGCACTATAAGCGCTGCACCCTTTGGCACGGAGGGGGGGACTGCCATTCAGAAGGAAAGCTGCGAGGAATTTGTTGTCATACCTGCCGGCGCAATTCTTCACCCCAACACACAAGCCGCCGGTTCTCCACAACACACCACAACAACACCTACACACAAAGCGCCGATTCTCCACAACACACGCTCACGCACCAGGTCATGTCCGAGAACCGGTTCAGCCCGAGGGAGTAGCTGCGGGGAGTTGCCGCGTCGTCGACAGCCTGGCGCAGGTTGTCTCGGAACACGCCCATGCGTTCCCTCTCCTCCTCCTCGTCCGCGTACGTCACGCCGTGTTTCTCCTTCCAGTCACGAAACAGCGCGTTCTCTCGCTCCTGTGCCCGTTCCGGTAAGACAGACGTGTGGCAGGTCGGAGGACAGCGGGCAGCAGCGGCGAGCCAGCGTATTTTAGGGAATGATGTCACCCGGCAACGCCATCAACGCTTACGCAGCATCGCCGTGGTGAAATCATATACAACGGGGGGGGGGGCCGCAGAAAATAATAAGAGGTGCCAAAGGGGGAGGGCCGCGCTGTGTCCGTGGAGCGCCCCTGGAATCCATTAGTGGTACCACACCATACCGCCAACGACAAGAATAAACGGGCTGTGCTCTACATGCAAGCGAGACAAAACACCGCATTAAGACCGTTGCCGCCTCTGCCTGGTACCGCTAACCCCCACCTCCTGTCCCAGCGTGGCGGCGGTGCCATCCTCATCCTCATCCTGGTTGTTGTCACAGTTGAACACCACCTTCGGCAGTTTCTGAATATTATGCGTGCACAAACAGCCAGCGGATGTGGGGGGGTGGAGGAAACGTTATGTTGACAGAGGGGACTTGGTGGCGTATGGTAACTGTTGGAAGCGCACGCACGCGCGCACACGAATCGGGTCCTTCGCTCCACACAACACTACTGTAGACGATGATACGCAAGTGGCACGAGCAAGCGAGAACAGAGTTAAGAGAAATGAGGGGAGCTGTAATGTCGAGAAGATAAGCTGCCATACGGGGGAAGGGGGGTTCGTGCGAGGAGGCCGAGATGCCGTTCAGACCTTGAAGAAGCGTCGCTTGTATGCATTCATGCAAGCATCGGGTGGCGGCGCATGATAGCAAACGGTGTGATGCATCAAAAATCGCCGCAGAGCAAAAAATAGAGAAAAGCGAAAATAAAATTTGCATCTCATGACGCCAGCCAATCATTCTCCCTCCGTCATGGCTTACCACCTACAAATGTTCGTGGTTTGAGGAACACAGGCCTCCGACTGTTCCGGCACGGCTACGAACGACACACACCGCCTCTGGCCTGGCGGTCGCCCTGATTGATCTCCGGAGACCGCCGCCTGAAAACGACGACATGGGCGTCTCTACACCAACACAACCGCAGCGATTGGTCACACCAAGCAATTTTCCATGGCAAAGGGTTCCAAGCGCGTGCCGGAACACGGCTAATGTACCGGACGCGCCACCCGCAGGGCTATCTGGCTGCTTGCTGACGAGCAACCCAACTTTACGGTCCGGAGAAAGAAAAAATAGAAGCTCTTTGCCACCCCCCCCACTTGCATCATTCATCCAAACGAACTTTCAGGAAGGGCAGGCCAACGGAATACGCCAACAGGGAACCAATCAGAACCCGAGAGCGACAAGCCGCGCGGCCCCGGTGCCGCCGGCAAGGAGGAGTTCCACCCAGAGGCGATGAGGTCACTACCGTTGTGGTTACAAGGACCACGAGGGCAAGCTTTTCGTGTCCCAAGACCACGTCCGAGTTCTTGAATGAGCACAGCACCAGCACCTTCAATGGCGGGGCGTGGACGCTGGGCACCCAACCGTTCGACAAGCTTGAATCGGTTTGTCGAAGGAGTGGGTGCCCAACGTCCACGCCCCGCCATTGAAGGTTCTCATGCCGAACTCGTTCAAGAACTCGGACGTGGTCTTCGACACAAAAACTCTTGCCCTTGTCGTCACCACGCCGCCGCACGGCTCTCGGCTGTGCTGCGTGAAAGCCGCGATGGCAGCGCGTCCATCACTCAACCCGCCGCCTGTGCTGGGTGCCCTCCTTGCCGGCCGTGCCGCGAGGGACACCTAGATACCTGCCCTGCGCGAGGTGGACCCTCGACGCCGTTGTCGAGTCGCTGCTGCGCCTGTTGAACAAGGCGACTACGGCACTCCTCGTAAACGAGATGTCAGAACAACAACTACAGCCTCCCTTCCCCTTCCCCTTCGTGTCTCGGATGTATGTGTTCCGCACCTCCTCAAACTAAACACTGCCTGCAACACATCGCCTCACCTTCGCGGTCGCTGCGGGCACGCACTCCGAGGGTACGGACTGGCACGTGCACCAGACGCACGTCGTTCCGCCCTCGTCCACGGAAGACCTGCACTCCTCCGCGGTGGTGGCGCTCACGCACCACTCTCCCAGACCGCCGCCGGTCACCTCGACTTCTTCCTGCCCGGCGAACCTCTTCTTGAGCGCGGTCTTGTGCTCTTCGAACAGCTTCTTGCTGTGTGTGTGGGGGGGGGGGGAGGCCAGCAACGAGAGTTCCGTGAGAACAGAGAGATGGGAAGGGAAGGGTTGCGTTCGGGGTAAAGACTTATGTGTTTAGATTCGTACAGATGGTAGGAACAGGCCGAACGGGGGCCCTCGATCATGATCATACGTACGGACAGGTCAAATTTGCGCATACAGTACCTTCCACGAACTGTAGGAGAGTATAAAAAAGGAGAGTGAGAGACGAAGAGAGCGAGCCTGCTTCTATTGACCACTATTACCTGCTACCGTGGTTGTGGGGCTGGCCTACAACACCGCCCCGCATCAACGGACGTGCATCAAACCTTGCCTTCACCACCGATGCACCAGCATACAGCACTGGCATTCGGGGAGCACCGTGGTTAAAACAAAGCGCTAAAGATGACCCCATCCATGTCGTCTCACAGGAGTGACACGGAAAAATGAGCGCTGGGGCGGGGGGCCACGCACACCCCGGCGGGCTACCTGGCGGGGGAGGCGACACACAAGCGCCATCGAAGCCGTTTCGTACCCGGGAAACGGTTTCGGATTTTACATGACTCTTACCACGACGTGATACTAACTTGTAACGCCTGCAGCCGACCCACTTCCAGCCTGCCTGCCTGCCTGCGGGGCGTGTTGGAGCCGCTCTCACCAATCGTCTTCGCCGATCTGTTGCGCCGCCGGGTGTCTCATGATGGCGGCCCTGCCTTGCTCTGCCCAGTCCATCTCCGCGTGTTCCGGGCGGTAGAGGTAGTCGTCGAGAAGTTCGAGGAGCTCCCCCCAGGGCAGTTCCTCCTGCTTGAGTCATGGTCGATGGGGGGGGGGGGTTAGGTTTGACACATCCGGGTACCCTCGTGGAACGTAAAGTACGTGCATAAGGTACACCACTCTCCAAGAGCCGGACTAACACCCCCTGGGAGGTGCAAGACTCCAATGTTGAAGGGGATCTTAAGACGTTCAACATGCGTTCTCCGAGAGAGGCCTACCCTCCCAAAAAAGGGAAAAAAAAATTCTTGGACTACACGCGTTTCGGCGAGGGTCAACGACCGCCGACTGAGCGAATACACGAGCACTCGTATTATTGTTGATGCACTGCTTTACGGGTTGACTGACGACTGCACAAGAGCCAGTTCAAGGCTACAACGACTTCTGTAGGGGGGGGAGAGGCGTACTCTCATGTTTTGCATGGCTTAGCGGTTTGACCCTTGGCCACGCGTCCTCGAGAGGACGGAGGATATTTCCCACAGGACCGATCACCGATGGCCGATCGTCCCTTTCTACCTTTTGCCAAAGGTGGCTCAAAAATGGTTTTTCACTTCTTGATGGGGGCACGGGGATGGGAGAATACCTCGGAATGTACCACCTCTGCTTCTCGCACAGTCAGTGCAGCGGCACAGAGCAACACCGCGGGACCTGGAGGAACGACTAACGGCCTCTGCCGAAGCAATTGCGCATTGGTTGACCACACCCAAGAACACTCTCACCCGCTGCTGCTGTTGTTCGAGCGCGGTGGTCGTCTCCACCTCCTCGGCGTTGGCGTTGTTGTCGCACGTGAACACGAATGGCGGCAGGTACTGATTGATGGACACCAAATCACCCATTGATGTGTTGTATGTTTGCGGAGGGGGCAGAGAGAGAGAGACAGAGAGAGAGAGAGAGAGACAGAGACAGAGACAGAGACAGAGACAGAGAGAGGGAAAAAAAAAAAACGGCCGGGACATGCCACGCACGAGGGAGAGCGTCAAGGTCAAGGCCAGCAAAACCCAGACACCAGGCGAACGAGGTCGCAATGTACACCACACAAAGGTCTACACATACGTGTGCATGTGTCAAGACATGCATGCACGGCATCGCCAGAGCGGTCGGCGGACGTTGCCATCACCCACTGAGACACGCGCCTTCGCCTTCGGTCGTGAACGCCGTTTCGGCGACTGCAACAGCCGTGGAGGCGCGTGGTTTATCACCGACCAAAATTGAGCGTCATCGGCGCGTGCTGAAAACAAGCGTCATTATTAGGCCCATGTTTGTGGTTTCCAAATCTTTATCTTCCTTTCTTTGGACAAATGTTGACTTTTTCGACCTTTTGGGCAGTCTGCCTCCAGAACGAAGGCTAATCAGCTGTTCGACCTTTGAGAATAGTCACAGCTTTGTTTGAGATGTCTACAGATCGCCTATATGTTTCGCCAGGGCCCACGTTTGATTTTTGCAAGATGCGCAATTTTCACGCAAGATTTTTCCAACACCAGCTTTTGGACAGATCTTGGCCCAAGACTTGCTCCGAGGTGGTCTTTCGGCCGAATGGTGCACATCTTGCTCTGCTGGGAAAAAAATCAAACGTGGACCCTGGCGAAACAAATAGGCGGCCTGTATACATCTCAGGCAAAGCTGTGACTATTCTCAAGGTCGAACACCTGATTCGCATTCGTTCGGGAGGCAGACTGCCCAAAAGGTCGAAAAAGTCAGCACTTGTCCAAAGAAAGGAAGATAAAGATACGGAAACCATAAACATGGGTCTTACCAAGCAGCAAATCCCTGAGCCAAATACAACGTCAAGGTAGCGTGCTCATGGTGGGTGGGCGTACGCCGACGTACACGACAACCTCCTAACAACGAAGGGTTACGAGCGCATACATGCGATACGCGCACCCCGGTTTCTTCATGTCTCACAGCGCCAGGCCTTCTCTGCTGTTGTGAGGCCGTTCTTGCAGCGGCTCTTTCGGAAAAACGTACCACTACAATCATACTTACAACACCTACGTCGATCACCGTCCTCTTGTCAATGCCGCAACAACCCAAGCGCAAAAATGATGCCGCTCATATCGGACCCCACACGAAGCAGACCGCGTGTCCACGGTACGTACTATCATACCAAAAGCCTGACAGGAACAACACCGGAGAGAGAGAGAGAGAGAGAGAGAGAGAGAGAGAGAGAGAGGAACACTTCAGACCGCCCCACCAGGAGCGAGACGACAAGAGACGGACACCACCCACACCACACCTTCGCCAGCGCCGGCGGCAGGCACGTCGCAGGGATGGACTCGCTGGTGCACCAGGAGCACGTCTCGCCGGTCTTGTCGACCATGCTCCGGCACTCGTCCGCCGACGTGGCCGTGACGCAGTAGTCCTCTGCGGGATCGCTGCCGGCGGCGGCGGCGGCGGTAGCCTCTTCCGGCAGCCCGGGCGCGTCGCCGGAGACCTCTGGGGGCTGCTGCGCCGTCATCGCCTTCGCCTCGCCGTCGGCACCAGCAGCAGCGTTGCTCTGACCATCACATGTGAACAGAAATGTTGGTAGAAACTGGCAGGGAAGAGAGTACAATAGAACAGGGGTAGGCGTAGAGACAGGGGAGGGAATGGGTGAGACTCACTCAGAGAGAGATGATAGGAGCAGGGGGACCCGCGCATTGAAATGCTGGAAGAATTGATACGAGGACGAGGGGGGGGGCGTGATGAGACGCGTAAATTCGTGGTAGTCACGGCGATGCGGGATACACGACAAAGAAATGGGCACAGAGTCGCGAGGGAAGTGCCCATGTTCGTCGCTTAGCACGTGGCATGGGGTGAAGGATCAAATGGTGTGTGTGCGATAGTTTGTCTGGGCACTACTGTACGCGTGCCCTTAGTTTTCCACGCATACGCACACAACTTGAGGAAACACTTTTTCAATTTTCATTTAAAGCTTCTCGCGCGCTCAAGAGTTGGAAGTTACAAGGTTTTCATGAAAAATACAACATAGAGCGACAACGGTGTACACTCTAATACCTCTGTAGCACATTTTTTCCCCGCGGTTGAAGTCAGCAAGGTCGTCTAACGTGGCCCTTGAACTGAACGAAAGAAAGTGGGACAAACTCTTCGAGAAAGCGCAAATTGATGTTCAGCTGCTGTAAGCAACATCCAACGATTGCTGCAGGAGGCCTCACGAGAGCAGCTTGGAACGTATGTTTTTCTCAACCGTCGTTCGCACGCATCTATCATACAATACAAACCTAAATTACCGTGCGGTGTCGCTGAGAAGTACATACGACGCGGGGTCGCCCGGAGTTTATTTACATCACCAGCCATCCTTTCTCCTGGCACGACATGTACGATGCCTACAGCAGCAGTACCTTGTACCGAGAAAAAATACCCCAGCAGGAGCCTAGACTGCATCACAGAAGGACCATCGCTCAAGATGATTCTATGCGGGAGCGTTGAGATTGACACGAGCAGCGAAGGTCGGGTGATACCTGTCCTTGCACCTACCACCTACGATGTGAGAATGCCGTTATGTTGCTCCCGATGCCGAGGTGACCGCTGAGAAACTGCGGTGTAAACTCGCCGCACATGACATGGGTTTTTGAACTTGTGATCAACTATGTATGCATACTAGACTAAAGATTAACAGCAATATGTGTGTATTCATTCCATGCATGGGTGCTATCGTCTGAGAGGCGTACCAAGCAAAGCTTCAAGGCTCGCTCTGCCGTAACCATGCCACGTGGTGGCCGTTCCCAACACAACCGCCCGCGCGTCCGGCATGATGCTGACCCGGTCTCCAACTGCAACCCCCAAAAATGACGAATGAATACAATAGACTACTGGTAGGCGCTATTCAATTGCTCCTCCGCGACATGCGTTTAAAACGCATGTCGCGCTGCAGGCTATCGTAGAGTACCTTGGCCATCGATGGCGGCACACACTTGGAAGGGAGCAACTCGGACAAACACCACGAGCACGCTTCTCCGCTGTCGTCCTGCGAAAGCCGGCAGGTGACCGCCGAAATTGGCTTGAAACACGGGTCTTCCAAGGGACTACCAGATCCGGACCCGTGGCACAGGTCAGCCACCGCCGCCAAGGCCAGCAGCAAGGGTCCCGTCTTCGTCAGCGACATCACCATCTCTACTCGCCAAGGAGTCACTTCAGTAGTCAGTAGGAGCGAAAGTGTGGGTCAGGCTTGCTCACCCCAACCTTGCTTCGTCGTCGGCACCGCTCCGTGGTTTTAAATTTGGCAACCGCCCACCCCCTCCCGTAATACTTCATCCCCCCAGAAAGCGCGCACCATTTCACCACACACAGCAGCCCCCGCAGCACTTAGTGTGGCCGCCGGCAAGGGTACGTGCCGCTGAACATGGACGTGGCAGCCTCCCAGCCCCCGAGCCACCACGGGACCGCGGCGCCAACGCGATCTTCGCCGCCGAAGCCTACAACGGTGAGTACGAACAAAATCACACAAAAAAAATTAGCGCCCTCTCTCTCCACTGCATAATCTACATATGCATACGGCAGCAGACTGCTGTCCATCTGATTTCGAACGTCTCTCGTCGTGCAAGAGTTTATTCATTTTACACACACTTTGCACTAAAGTACCCTCGGGCGTACCGCCGTGGTTTGGCGTAGGGTAGCGGGTTTCGTCCGCACATTTCTGCAGAGATGACGGTGGAGATTTTTGAGTTTCTCGCACGCGAACGGCTACAACTCTCGGCTCACGACTCCAAAGTCGAAAGTCGTTTCGGTGTATCGATCGCGTTCGTTCACAATGACTCGACGAGAGGGGAATTTACGCCGCCGGACAGGCGAGCGTACTGATTTCGGCCGCCGGCTGTTGGGGCCTGGTCCGAGCAGCCGAGCGCCTGCAGCAGGTTGCTTGACATACGAAGCGCTGGTGCTGTAGAGAACAAATGTTGACGTTTACGTAGGGGGGGGGGAGATGGTTTAGTGAGAAGCGAAGCATTTACGATGATGTGCAATAATCGCAGCAGTCGTCGACGAGGGTTCATATTGAAATCGTCTGAAAAAACGTTCGCATTTTCGAACCCCTCACTCACTCACGTGAAAACGAATACTGTACTGTAGGTTCTCCCCTTCCCCTCCCCTCTGCACTTCATTTCCTCTACCGGTGCTTCCTCTTCAGCGGGCGAGAGAAAAATGTAGACTCACGACTGCTGATGATGCTGTTGCTGCTGCCTGTTCTCGACAGCCCGCACATCTGTTTCACAGGAAATTTCGGGGCACAGCTGTACTTGACCTTCGAGATAAACGGCTGCCCTCCCTTGCATACCGCCAGTACAAGTAAAACAGCACTACTTAGCCGAATCGTCTGTTTGCTGCTGCAACCCCCCACGTCAGTTTGCCCGCGTCTGTGACTGCCACCATGGAGCCAGTACGGTGGCAAGAGCTCCTGCCAACGGCGATCACGTAAAACGAATTGCGGCGGTATCACCTAGACTAACTATGCAAGGTCTTGCGTGTTTTCATTCTCCTCACGACCCTGCTGGTGTTTCACCACCACAACCACCACCACCACCACCACCACCACCAGCCGCGGCAGGTAGTCGGCACAACCAGAGCTTCTCGCTCAAACAACAACAACAGCAGCAACGGCGGCAAAACGCCGCTGGCGACAACGGCGACGACGCGCAAGAAGGGAGCAGCCACAATAGTGGCAGTAGCGGCGGCGGCGGCGGCTGCATCAGCGGCGGCAGCAGCAGCAGCATTAGGCGTGGGCGGTGGCAATGGCGGCGGTGGCGGCGGCGGCGTAAGCGCTGTTCCCGGAGGCGGCGGGGGGGCGGTTAAAAAACGCGATAGCGCCAAGAAGGGCGGTGCCGAGAGCCCGCGAGGGGCACGAGGAGGCGCGAGCGGGGTAAACGGTGGGAGCGGGAGCGGGAGCGGCAACGCCTCCGGCGTTTCGCGGAAGAGGGTACGCGTGAGGGACGAGAAGCTCGGCGAGTTCGCGGTTCTGTTGGCACCATACGAAGGAGGTGAGGGGAGGAGGGAGCTCTTCCGCGTGTCTTTTTTGTCTCCCCCGGACAAGTAGTGCGATACAAGGGAGCTGGTCTCAAAGAGAAAGACCGGGTCGCACGATGCCTTTTCGCCATGAGGGCAACTGGTTTTTTGGTGTTTTGGGGTCTTGCTTTGCTTCGCATTGCCGTCGCGGAGACGAGAATTCCCGCCGGGGCGGCTAGCCTTGGGTGCTTGGTGACCACCGGTGGTTTGGCTGGGCATGCCAGAGGCACTGCTGTACAATGGTGGAACGGACATGTTGTTGTGCTGCTGTACAACGGCAGAGACGAGACGCCAGCCGCCTTAAAGTCTTCTCCTCCCCGCCCCTTATGCCAACCCGGAAGAGCACTACTGGAATTCGATGGCATACCCTGCTCGGCATCTTGGTGCTGCTGCGAACTGAAATCCTGAAATCAGAGCTAGCAGGCACGGAATTGTGTGCTCTTCGGCTTAATCTGTGCCAGCCGTTCATCTCCCGGGAGCAACGCGCGCGCGCAAAATCCACGTTTTATGTTTGCTGAATCCTGAAATATGTCTCCCTAACGCTCCGTCTCCCCCCCCCGTCCTTCGCCGCCCCGCCCCTATTTCTACAACAACGACCGACCAGACCACAACGATATCTGCGAGATATGCGACAAGGGCGGGGACCTCCTGTGCTGCGACTTTTGTAACCTGGTAGGTGGCCTTGCGTTTTGCTCTGTTGCGCAGGGAGAGGCGCTACACAGCAGCAGCAATGAAAGTCACCACACGCAGACATGATAGATGCAGGGTTGGGTGGCAAGACGTTTCCTGTTAGGCCTTTCAGGCATCGTGGATGGCGTCGGGCTTTAGCATTGGGGCAAGAACGCCTCGTCAGCACCAGCAAAACCCCCTCAGAGTCGTCCAGCCTCGTTCCGTGTTGCGCCCCATCACCGTCACTGTCTGCGCCAGCTTGTGACTGAACATGTGTGCGTGACTCCCCCCAAGTCCGAACGGCGAGTCGATATGCACTTCGTTCGTTTGATACTCTTCAATCTGTTCACGCTCGTGCCTACGCGTGCTTCCGGCGCACGTCTCGCTCGGCGTATTTTCGCGACAACCGGCTGTCCGTGGCGGTCCGTCTCCGTGCTAGTGGTGGTGTTGTTGGCCCGCCTTGTCCCCCCTGCTACGTGGAGTAGACTATTCGACGCCTCTTATCTGATAATCTGAGTGTGCTGTGCGGGCGGGCGGGTGTGGGCTCCCTCTTTGATCCCCGTGTCGATGTTGTTTTTGTTGCAGGTTTACCACTTGTGCTGCGTGACGCCAAAGCTGACCGAGGTAAGAACACAGAAAAACACCGCAGCGGCTTCGTGTTAGCCGCAAGTGCTGTTTTTGTGCTTCGTAGTAATTTGTCGTGGGTGGGAGGAGGCTCGCTGGCGTGAAAGTCAGATGCTGTCCTACGGCCTCGATACGTTCGGTGACCGTCTTCTGTCAACCATATGATAAGGGCACAGGCGTGGTTGGCGGAGACTCCCTAGTTCTCACCAACGGTACGGTAGCTTTTCGACTATGCCGGCATCAACGACTGCACAGACTATTTCCAAACTTACCTTTTTGCGCGAAGCGCTTGGTGGAGTAGTTGGGTGGTCGTTTTTGAAAGCTCGCTTTTTCTTCCCAAGGTGGAGAGTCTTGCGCGAGAATTCCACCTCGCGCGCGTGACCAATAAACGGGCTGCGTTTCTTGTTGTACGCGGCGCGCATCTTCGGTCGGCGTGTCAAGGGGGAGGGCATAAAGCCCGGCGACATGCAGAATGACGTTCGTTTCTGTCTACAATGTATCTGTTGGAGAATGTGCGTAAAATATATCATCCTGTTACACTTCCTGTTACACTTCCTGTGTTCTCCCCTTTGTTTCGCCTGGCAGCTTCCGGACGAAGATCTTTGGATGTGCCCGGCGTGCACGGCGGAGGTTACCAGCCGTCAGGTGCATGCGGTGTGCGGGATCCGTTCCTGTCTTGACGCTGTTTTCGGCATGCTGTTTTGCTGTATCTCCGAGTCCGTCCGTTTTCCAGGGAGAGTGTAGTGCCAGACTTGCGTCTACGCCATATCGCTGTGTAGGAATAGGTCGTGAGGTTCTCGCTGACGAAGGGCGAAGGACGTCAAACGTGGTGCGCGTCCTGTCTGACGCTGGCAAGAAAGTTTGCTGCTGTTGTGTTTTTTCACCTCACGCACTCCGCGATACATACACGCCTGACGCGACCTCCTCTCACGAGCAACAAGCACACCACCTCTCAGAAACACGCCATCAATTTTTGCCTTCATCTTGGCACTCCCTCCCCAGATCGCTAAGCGGCGGCGACTGGAGGACGGAGGGCGGTCGACGTCGCCGGGTCCGGGAGGGTCGGGTCGACATCACGGACAAGAGAGGGTCCGAGGCTACCAAGGAGTGAAGGCCGAAAACGACGCGTTCCGAGCCTTTGTGCTGTACAAGAACCAGACCATGGACATTGGCCTTTTCCCCACGGCCCAAGCGGCGGCGCGGGCCTACGACCGCAAGGTGCGGGGGGGGGGGTCCCGGCGGACAAGAAGATGGACGCTAGTTTTGCGGCGCTGGCAGTGCTGTTGTCGGCGCTGGCATTGCTGCTGTCGAGAGTATGTGCTGATAGTGTAAGCACATCCGTTGCACGTTCTTCTTCGTATGTTTGTGTTTGACTACACGACTCGCTGCTGCTCGATGTTAGTCCCTCGCTTCTCCATGGCTTGACCTTGACGCCCGTGTCTTTGTGTACGAATCCTCGTGGTAGCCCCCCATCCCACCCCACCCCACCCACGATGGCTAGCTTTCGTTCCGCCCAACAAGGCTGAGCTGCGCGTGATCCTTCCAACCATTTACTGCTTTGCAACAGAATTTCACCTCTTCGCGCGTTCGTTCTCGCTCCCCTCCTGCATGAATTTCCTACAAACCACCTCCCGGGCTCTCTCTCTCTCTCTCTCTCTTGGTGGTTGTTTCGATGGACCGACACTTCTCTCATTGTTTGCGCTTGCCCGCTCTTTGCCGCAAACACTGATAAAAGGCTCTGAGTCTATTCGGCGACGCGGCGGTCTGCAACTTCCCAGCGGACGAGCAGGTCGAGGTGGAAGGGGTCGCCACAGATGGAACCACGGTCAAGGTAAGCATGCATGATACTTTCGCTGTTGTACGGGTGCATAACAAATGACGGCGAGTAGGCATGCATGCAAACTTTCGCTGCCTGGTCGAGTACTCTTACCTTCCACGTTCGTATCGGTGCTTTCTTGAGTTGGCATGCGTTGACACTGAATTGTTCGAACGGTCGACGTGAGGGGAAACCAGGCATTACCTCGTCAGTAGTGCCAGGTGTTTGGAGACTGCATTCGGGATCTGACTTGTTGGCTTGACTTGGCTTGCCTCTCCTTCCTTTCCCTCTGGGCGGACCTTGCCGTTCCTGTGGGGCGCGGCGTTGCTCATGGGAAAAAACAAAAACAGGGCGTGGTGCGGAGCTTTCACCAGTGGCGGGCTGAGATGCAGTGGGGAAACAAGAAGCGGCACCTGGGATTTTTCGAACGACGTGAGCTTCCTTTGCGCTGACATTAACCTGTCCAAGGATACAGTCAGTACGACTTAGGTTGCGCGGCAGCACCAGCTTCCACCTCGAAGCCAAGCAAGGGCTCCGATTTTTCCGATTGTTTGCGCTCATTGGTGGCCCACACCCACCACGCCAGTTTGCGCTGTTGTTTTGACTGCCGATAACCGTCGTTTGGTTGTTCACAAAACCGCATTTGCATACCTGTTCTTGATTTTTGTTTTGTGTCTCTTGCGCGCTACCTGCCACCCCCCCCCCCCCCCCCCCC